TCTCAACCGTTGGCCTTCAGATCCAGAGGCATCTGTTTTAGACGTCGACCTACAGGATGTGTCCCTAGTAACCAATTATGCGTTACCTCCATTCATTTTGATTCCCTGAGCTTTATCCCAAACTTTCAGACAGAGAACATCACTTCTTCTGATAATTCCATGGTGACTAACTAAACCATGGTTCCCACAATTGTTGTGAATGTTGATAAATGTTCCCAGAAATCTTTCTCTATTCAACAAACTTTTGACGGATGCCTACGAAAATCCTCAATCTCTAATTCTGTATCAACAGCATACATTTTTTACTATTTCCCAAATCTTAAATTTTCTTTCCAAATCTTTTGAATTGGGTAAGCATACCAGACTTTTAATATCTATTGTTCATGTATATTGGGGGGTCATGAACTCTCACTCACTCACTGCAAAAGAAAAATTGATTTCCAGGATATTGTATATAGTTTGTGGGCATCAGGAAACCACTACTAAGTTCGAGGAGAATTAGAATGTCTGTTATTACAAATATATGGAACTATAAAGCAGGCACTAAAGATAATAAAAGTGAATAGCTGGTATGCTTAAATAGTTACTTCAACCTCCATGGCAACCCAACATCATTATCTGGTAAAATGGGAGGCCATTGATCCATATAAAAGGCCGAGTGATGTGTATTGCATCACCTAAAGAAGGCAGACCCACTGGAAAGGGGTAGTGGCAAGAATAGACAGGTCAGCCTGATATGAATGCAGTATTGTGCATTCTAATGATGCAGTATTGTGTGTCTAATGATGCGCTCACACTACAGTTTCTAGGGACAGTTCCCTTATGTCCCCAAAAATGGGACACCAGAGATTAAAGTTGGGATGGTGCTACAGGATCCTGAAATAAGGCGGCTTGCAACAATCTGTTAGAGAAGTTACCTTTCCCCTTTAAAACTTAATGTTAATGGAGAGCTGGAAGTTTTTTTAGATCTGAATACTGTACATTTTTATTTCATTAATATCTTCAAGGAGTGACTGGCCCTTTTCCTATGATTAACCTTTAGAAAGCAGGGTTACATACATGCCAGCATAGAGATAAATATTCTGTTCTTGAGATGTACTTTCTGAGGTGGATATTAATCCAGAGTGCTTTTGTGAACTAAAATCTGTAACCTCTTAGAGTGTATAAAGGACTGGTTGGCAAATTACCATTTCTTATACAAATATACCACATTCTGAGCCAACAATAAACAAAGGCTCACTGTCTATGTGCATTTGTTAAGAAGGCCTTTAGTGCAGGCCTTGCTCTCATCAGAGCTCTGCATGTTAATTAGCTGTTTGCAAAAGCGAAATGGTCAGTCCACAGGAAGTTAAAACTTTTAAAACATTTTAGTTTATTTTTTTAGAGTGCAGAGTGTTCTCTTTATGTGCATTACAAATTAAAAGATAGAATACAGTTTATGTATAGATGTGTTTGTGTTTTATTTTGTTCACTATAATGCTAGTGCATTATTCATTTTAGTAACATGTTACAAGTAGTATGCCAAATGATAATGGTATCTCAGTGCAGATTGTGGAGGTAACGTACACAGTAGGACACAAGCACATTCTTGTTGGTGACACTACTAGTGTGAATAACGAATACAATTTTGTGGAGGTGTATAACTTCTATGACCTTGTACATGGCAAGGGAATCCTTTCCAGAATCTATAGATAATGATCTTATAAAATAATAATCTGCAGAGTCAATAGAATCTTTATCTTATGATCTTACTTTACCATTAATAAACATACTGAACCCCCTCTGATACTATTATGGGTTGCACTTTAACCAAAGACTAGGGAAAAACATATCTGTTTGGCCATGTATTTAAAAAAGTGTTGATTTCACTATCTGTGAAAAAATAAAATTATCATCAATTCTCTTCCCCAACTGATGGACCTTCAAAACAAATTAAAACCATTGTCGCTTGCAGACACTCTAACGGCTATTATATGAAGTAAAGAAAAGTTCTAAAGACATGAGACTGAATCTCAACGATATTGTCACAGTGTATACCCTAACATTCAGAATATGAACCCTACCTTGATTAGACAGAGAAAATACAGTAATGTATTATTGGTCCTTAGAATGGTCAAGCTTAATGTTCGTACAAAGGAGTAAACGGTAACAGAAAAGTCAGAGACAAGCCAGAGATCAGGTAAGTGAGACACAAAGCCAGGTCAAGGATGCCAGAGGTCAAAATAGTCAAGGACAGCAAAGCCAAATACCAGAAAGTGAAACACTATGAACACACTATTGGGATCAGAAAGGGACTGAAGTATTTATAGCTCCTCTGGACTATAAGCTAGTTTGAGCAGGGTTCTTATCAACCTGTTGTTCCCAGTGATGTATCTATCGCGAGGCAAACAAGGCCTTGTGCGGCACTTTGCAGGGGGCGCCCCTTGATTGCCTCGTGTGGGGGGCTCAAGAGCTGGCCACTTTTGACCATGCTCACCAGAGCTCTTCCTGCTCAGCTCCCTCTGCGCCGCTTAATAAAGCCGGGAGCCGGAATATGACGTCACACCGGCTCCTGGCATCACTAAGAGGCACGAGAGGTAGCTGAGCAGGAAAATCAGAGCTCCCTCACCGCCTACTCAGCCTGCCCGCCCAGCAGCACCACTGGACCGCAGGTAAGTAATCCCAGGGAGGCTGGGTGGATTTAAATTAAAATTAAAAAAATAATAAGTTGTGAGTGTTGGGGGACGTGTGTGTGTGTCAGTGAGTGTGTGTGTCTGTCAGTGCGTGCAAGTCTGTCAGTACGTGTCCGAGTAATAGTGTGTGTCTGTGTATCAGTTTGTCAAATCAGTGAGTGTGTGTCATTGTTTGTCAGTGTATATGAGTGTGTGCGTCTGTCAGTAAGTGTGTGTATGTCAGTGAGTGAGCGTCTGTCAGCCAAAGTGCGGCCTTGAAAGGAAGGGGTGGGGAAAATTTTAATTGGAGGGGTGCCTGAGCACCGTCTTGCCTAGGGCAGCACATATACAAAATACACCACTGATTGTTCCTGTAAAATGTTGTAATATAATTTATTATTACATTTCCCCCTTTTATAATATTGTTAAGCGCTGCGGAATAAGTTGGCAATATAAAAATGCCAGAAATAATAATAATAATTATATCTATTGATACTCTGTCATTCCTGTGTGCCCAAAATGTGCACGTATGTTGTGGCAGGAATGATGCAAGACAAATTATCCTATAAGGACCAAAGTTTTAGGGTGACAGTTTTTGTGAAGGGACATGAGGATGAAAGTTCTGAATGAACAGTCACACTCTTCCACACACTTAGTACAGGTCACTCAATGCTTATGGTCTATGCATGTCTTTTGGAGATCATAGGACCTAACCAGGGTGTTCCTAACCTGAGCTCACATGGACCTGAGCTGTGCAAAATGTTTTTCAATTAAAGATTCCTTTATAAAAAAAAACAAAAAAAAAACTGCCAGTATGGCCATAGGATAGAACCTACATTTGACAAACAATGGAATATTTTGAGATAAGTTACTGTCAGCATTATTCCAAGCCAATTCAGTTTAAGACAACATGTATGTCCAGTTATTCTGGTAGTTTGATATGAATGAATCCAAGAATTGCTACAGAGAGGACCTGTTTGGTCTAGGGATGGTATGCAATGGAGAAAGCATCTCCACAACTGTGAGACAAATTTACCCATCTAACAATCTTTAAAAACTAGCTAGTAAATTAGGTTTACAGCGCTAAGAGTTATTATAATAAAATCATACATACATAGGTAGCAGCAGTTTTTGCAATTATGTGTCTTACTCTTAAAAAAAGGAAATAAAAGTACAATGATAGTGCAGTATGTTATGAATAATATGGTGATACATATAAATTCCAAAGGGCACTCACATTTTCCAGAGCTTAAAAAGCTCTATTTTAGGAGCCTGGACGGAACAATCCCTGTCTAAGGATTTCTTTTTGCTGGTATCAGATTCCCAAGGTAGTGCAGTTCATCATATGAAAAAAATAAGGATATATACCAATGGTACAGTATGTATGTAAAAGTAGGATAAGTAAATAATATTTGACCTACTTACATTTGCTAGAGCAATGACCTGCTCTAGTGTATAGAGCTTTAGGTGGAAGAATCCCCACCTAGGGATATATGTAGATCCGGAACAGCAGAGTGATGGTGAGAGTATAAGGAGCTCAAGAGTGACTGGGTATTAAAACATAATCTTTATTAATAAACAGAATGAATAAAACTATTTGAAAGTGAACTATATAGTAAAAATAATTTTTCACATTCACTTTTGAGAAAGCTGTAAGCGAAACATGTCAAGTGGAGATTAAAGATTGCCTACAAGGACTGGTATTATTTATAGTTCTTTTTACTATATAGCACTGGGGAGTGAGACTGACTGTGCCCACTTCCTGTGATGCTGCCTGGTGCTGGGTAGTGAGACCGACCATTTCCACTCCCAGGGATGCTTGCTTCTGGGGAGAGGGACCAAAAATCTCCTCTTCCCGTAACTCCGTCTACCACTGGGGAGAGAGACCGGTTGTCTCTTCTCCCTTTACCTCATTCAGCCGCTGGGGAGTAAGACTGACTGTCTCTACTCCCTGGAACTCTGCCTGGTGCTGGGTTGTGGGAACGACCATCTCCACTCCCAGTGATGCTTGCTGTTGCTGGGGAGAGGGACCGAAAATCTTGTCTCCCAGGGTTATCCAGCTTATTCCTTGCTCTCAAGGGCCTGCTGTTGGACTGAGTCTTTTAGGTTTTGGTAGTCTTACTCCAACTCCTACTCTATGGTAACCATTTGGGTGAGGTCTGGTCCCAGCTCAATAGCTCCTGGGAACGGTAGCATCTCTTGCCGGTAAAAATAGCCCAGAACTGAGACTTCACAGGACTGCCAAAATCCTCCTCCTCCAAGGCCTTCCACAACAGGCCGGGGCCATCGTAGCCCTCCCCCTCTGGCTAAACGCCATCTGCCAACCAATTGTCTCGCTGGACTGCTTACATCCATAGACATCTGTTGTGTCACTTGTTCCTGCCAGTGGTGCGCTGTACTTTGAAGCTTCTTTTTCCGCCAAAACTGTGCTACCTCCAAGGATTCCTGCCAGAGTTCTCGCATTACACATTCTCTGCAGGCCACCTCTTCCTCGGTTGCTCGGCAGAAATAGGGCCCTGCTCCTGTGCCAGTGTACCTTGTACTCTTCACTGGAACTCCTCCTCATATGGGGACACTGTCCGGGGGCTAGCTCCTTACATCTCCCGAGTTCCTCTTTAGATAGGGAGACTGCTAGACTCTTCACTGCATTCCCTGGTTTGGGATATCCATTTAGGGAAAAATCCCACTGATTGCCACCAGTATAATGAATCCCCTATACTCTGGCTGAGTATATCCGTTATAAGTCTCCCAACTCCCAAGTAAACTGGTGATCAGAGACCTTGGTTAAACAAACAACAGCCAAGACTTGATGAAGGGTACAACAGGAATATCTTTAATGGGACATGGTACAGCCAAGTTATACACAGACCCCCAGCAGGAGGTCTCCATACAATTACACACAAACTCCTCCCCTGTGCCTGAGAGATAATTGAGTCAGGACAGTACAAACTCAATTATCTCCAGGTACAAATAAAAAAAGCATACAATCTTAAAACACCTCAAAGGTACATTTTTAATTTGAAAAGGGGTTAATTGATTACATGGAAGGCCAGAGCTTACAACCCAAGTTTCTCTTTGAAGCTGGGACTCCAACAGAGCTATTCTGTAAGTGGCCTGGAAGTCATATCCAAAAGAGACATTTGCTTAACCCAACTATCCCCCAGGCACTAGAGCTACAGATCATAAGTCATAAACTATGAAATATACATTCCACACATATAGGAACCCTACAAATAAACCAGGGAAATGTCTTGTCAATATAAGGCAAAGTATTAATTTTGGCACAAAGTATATGGCCCATAGTCGGTGGGCAATAGGCTACCTTCCACACTCCTCTAGGAGTTTGGGGCAAACGTCCAGGGTAAGGAGCGTTCGTCACACCTTGCTAGCCTCGTGTCCTGGGGCCCAAGAGCTGACCAGCTGGCCACCTTTGGGCACTCCTGGGGCGGGCGGCAGCTTGCATTGCGGTTGGGTGGCAAGGGATTGCTGCAGTCTGAGCCCTTCCTTCTCAGCTCCCTCGCTCACCGCTTAGTGATGCTGGAAGCCGGACTATGACGTCAGTCCGGCTCCCAGCATCACTAAGTGCGCGTGAGGGAGCTGAGCAGGAAGATCAGAGCACCCTCGCCGCCTACTCTGCCAGTTCGCCCCCTCCCTGCACAGGCACTTGCCCAGCAGCACAAACAGCCCCTGCAGCCCCACTGGACCCAGGGTGAGGAATTCACTTCAGCTTTCCCACAGAGGGTGGGTGGAGTTAAATTAAAATTAAAAAAAATAATAATTTGTGAGTGTTGGAGGATATGTGTATAAGTGTGTGCCTGTCAGTTAATGTTGGTGTGTGTCTGTTAGTGTGTGTCTGTCAGTCACTGTGTGTCGGTCAGTGAGTGTGTGTGTGTCTGTCAGTCAGTGTGTGTCTGTGTCTGTCAGTGAGTATGTGTATCTGTCAATGAGTGTATGTGACTGTCAGTGAGTGTGTGTGTATGTCTGTCTGTGTGTGTCTGCATAATACTGTGTTTGTATGTCATTGTATGTGAGTGTATGTGAGTGTGTGTGTCTGACAGTGAAAGTGTGTGTTAGGTAAACAGTGTGTATATCAGTGCATGCATCAGTGAGAGTGTCTGTCAGTCAAAGTGTGTGTGGCCTTGACAGGAAGGGGTAGGGACATTTTAAATTAGGTGTGTTGCCCAACTTTGTTCACGCCTAGGGCAGCACAAATTCAAAATACACCAGTGAATGTTACCCTTTGGAGGGGGGAAACTTAACAATTAAATCCACAGATTAAGTTGAATTGAGAACTGGTAAAGGTTGAAGCAGTCCACAAGGTGCCTGATGGGGTAGTTTAGACTGGGCAAATGTATAAACAACTTGAATATAATCTCTTATATCACTTCACAGTTTCAACCACTAGAATTTTCTGCTTATGGTGGCGAAAGAAAGTGAATTTGAAACCCCTGCAAGCTTTAAAGGAGTAAAAAAATGTTCTTGCTTGTAATATCAAGGAACAAATAATTTGTCATGAGATTCCAGATGGAGGTGAGTTAGAGTGAAATTCTGAAAAGTGAAAATGTCCCCCCCCCCCTCCTCTCCCCCCCATATCATGAACCTTGAAAGAGTGTCAGCTCTAGAATATTTAGAACCAGGCCAGTCTAATGAGAAACAATGCCAATGTAGCTTGTAGAGAGTTTGTGCTTGGCATCACTAATGTACAATAGATTTTTATGATCCCTAAATATCATGACAGCTATAGTAAATTATTTTAATAAATGCTTCCACTCTTTAGTGCAAGTATTATTTCAAATAACTCATGATTACCAATAATGTATTTTTTCTCTGTATTGGATAACTGTTTGGAGCAAAAAAAAACAGCATGGATGAAGGAAAGTGCTAGAAGTATTATTCTGTGAAAGGATAGCGATCCTCTTCGGGAGGACTGCCTGACAGCCCAGGCAGCCCTCCCATGGCAAATCAGGTCCCCGGGGGCCATGTGATCACTCTCAAAGAGCGATCACATGGCCCCCTATAGCTGGCTGTCAGACAGTCCCCCTGCTGGTGGGAAAGTTAAAAAATATATATTATTACACTTGTTAACTTGTTAAAATAAATTAAGTGTGTGTGTGTATATATATATATATATATATATATATATATATATATATATATATATATAGAATTTAAATGAAAGAATATTACCCGGGTGCTTCCAAGCAGATAATACAAAGTCAAACAGGAGCACTCTCTTGGTTTTTCAAAGTGTATTTCAAAAAGTATTCACCACCTTTACATCAACATTTCGACCTTTCAGGGTCTTTATCAAGATGATAAAGACCCTGAAGGGTCAAAACGTTGACTGATCAAACACTGACTGATCCAATCCCAAACAGACTGTCTCTATGGTTTTCCCTGCTTCATTCCCAGCACAGTGACGCTATCAGACTGTCTGACCCAAGGTGTATGTATATGGCTGAAAGATCATGTCATATACGAAAGGCAACGATGAGTTATTTACATACACTTAATTTTTAAAAATCTATTTAGTTTTAATACTTGATGACAGGATAATTATGTTAAAAAATAGTTTTGAGGTGGCAGTTCTCCTTTGAAAAGAATGCAAACAGCTGAACTACACATCCCATAAATCTATTCTGCTAAAATAAGCAGAGTATTCAGCTTGAAAACAATGCAAAGACCTGGATTGGCTGAGAGTTCTTAACCACATCATTGTCTCTTCAGACATCAATCCAAAGACTACAGTGTCACAGTTCTCACCATGACATCGAGACATCCACAAGTGGTCACCCAAGAAGTGCCCAGCAGGGGATTTGAACTATGGACTCTTTCTTCCTAAATCCTGCTGTCTTGCCTCTGGGCAGACAAAACAGAATGTACCCCTCTGGATTGGGGGGCTGTAGTGTGTCCTGAGGATTTTAACACAACAGAAAAGGAAGGATGTGAACCAAGGACAAAAAGTCAGAGGTGCAAGTTAAAGAGTCCTCAGAGTTATACAAGAGTTAAAAACACATTGTGGCGAAACCAACCTCGCCACTGTGCACTGGAGAAGCCTGGTTGCCAGCCTCCTGCCATCTGACTATGGCCCCCTTTTAAAAGACTTTATTTTTGCCTGCAGAAAAGCTGTATTCGTGCTTTTCTGCCTGGGGTTCGGTAGATGTGTTTGAATGTGTTATACCCCAGATAGGAATCCCATGGAGCCCATTTGTATGAAACTGACTGTAAAGACTTTGGCTCCATGGCGATTAAACTGTATTCGTGTGGTCTGAGCGCCATTCACTTAATAATGTGCGCTCAGACCTGAGCTATCTGGGGATATGTGAAATGTCTGTGTGTTATGTGTAAAGGTGACTTTATGTATTTTAAAGTGTTTTGTGTCTTTTTGCAACCATGTGCTTAATGGAGTCTGTGTCTATCCTGGGAGATAATTGAATTACTTATCTCCAGGATAGAAGACTCTGAAACTGGTTTGGGCCAGAAAGCCATGCTTCATTTAGTCACAAAGGACTTTTTACTAACTTTTGAACCCCTTGTCTGATTTGTGCCATTTTTGAATATGTTGTTCCCCTGAATGGATTGATTGTGAATATGTAATTTTATGTGAATGTGATGTATGGTTTTGGAGTTATGAAAGTTGGGTAGAAAGTATGTTTTAACTGTATGTATAATTGAGTTTCCTCTCAGGATAAGGGGAGGGAATATGTGGGATGTAACTGATGTGATTGGTTGTTTTGTAACGCCCTGTGGGCTGTACTATGTTTTGTGGATTGTAATAAAAACCAGGCTGGGTGTGCCAGCACTGGAGATTCTGCTTAACCCTCAAAACGAAGTGTCGTCTCGTTATTGGGGGAATTGGATTGTGTGCTGACTGCCAGGAGTGTAAGCCGTTTGTATTGCTTTTTCTGTTCGGCTGCTTCCAGGGTTCCTGTGTCTGCTGTTCGAGAGTTGGTGAATACGTGCAGTTTGGAGTTCAGGAGGTTGGTGATTGCAGTAGCTGCTGGTCTATGGGAAAGGGGATTATCGCCTAAACGGATTTTATCCCCTTTTGAGTGAAACGGTCCGTTACAATTGGTGGCAAGCGGCGGGATCGTTCCTACAACCAGAAGGACAGCTACAGGGCAACACCATTCCTTGGATTACAAAGTGAGGGCAACGCCAGTACACGTACAGCGACCCTATCGACAAAAGAGCCAACTTCAGCAGCGCAAGCATGGCACCTAGCTACACTCAGGAGCAGTATGACAGAGAGTTTGCTATGCGGCTGGCTTTCTTTGGACCCAACCCCCCGGAGAAATACGTGCAGTTCGTAAGGAGCCAGGTAGACGAGTACCTGGAGTTCATGGCAGATCCAGCCAAAGGTATCAGCCGCCCTATCCGGAGGCAGAGTGCGTTATGGGGACTCATAGGTGTACCCCAGGGAGCTAAAGGTGCCGTCCTTCCTCCCCAGCGGCAGTGTGTATCCCAGGGAGCTGAAGGTGTAGTCCTTCCTCCCCAGCGGCAGTGTGTATCCCAGGGAGCTGAAGGTGCAGTCCTTCCTCCCCAGCGGCAGTGTGTATCC